TCAAAGATTAGGTTGAGATCGCGGCCACTTAAGAGGATTCGAAGATGTTGACCTTAAAATTAGAGGAGTTGGATGATGCAAGGATGATCATGCAAGCTGTTCATCTAGGAATGTTGAAGCGCTTGAAGGAGCAGCTGGAGACAACGGAGAAGGAGACGGACTAGACGGAAGCAAATGGCCAGGAGGAGCCAACGACAGAGTGAGCAAGGATGCTCGGATAGCCGGTCTGGCAGGACAAACAATCCCTCTTTTTTTTTTTTTGCTCAGACTGTTGGACTAAGATATTTTTTGTGATTGGACATGTAAAAACTATGAAATCAGCGTCTTTTTGACTGTCAACGGACACTATGCATTTGATTTTTCAATCGATCGGACCAGGGCGAACGTTTAGACGGATACCGTGTGGAGAAGGTAGCTGTGCGATGAAATGGACAGCCGACTTGCTACAGGTTTTACGAAGTTACTCGAGCTTATGTTGGGGTCGTACGCCCCTACATCAGCGAGACAGCAAAGGTCAAGACAGTTCATATTGTTTCCAAAAAAACAGTTCCTATGGGCGTTCACCAAGTCGGACGCCATCAAATTACAGCCGGAGATGTTCTGTAAGTTTGCCATTCCAACACCACAAACGTACAGAACATCATCGACCATCTAGATATTCTTTTTTTGAAAAACATCCGCCTCGATTTGTGACCGGGTCTCTATCTCAACTGCTGGGAACTTCGACATCAAGCAAGGAGTGAAATTCTACAGAAACACCAGACTATTTCAACACGGAAGACCACCGAAAGGTCGGTCCAGTCAACATACTAGCAGATGTTCAAACTTCAAGGATGACTAATATGGAAACATTTAGATGTCTTTGTAGTAGCCACCGCCACAAGTTACATATAGAACAGCCGGTCCAAGAAAGGAGGAATGTGAAGCGTCGAAACAGGTTACATTCTACTTGCTCATAGGAGAACCAAATATACAATGGATATCCTAAAGTCTGGATACATCTGCTGAAGGTCGGGAATACCACAAAATCCATCTGCATCAGTGAAGGACTAGTTAAAGATGAATCTCAATTTTCTCTCCGATTAGAAAAATTACAAGCACAGAAATGCGATGGAAGTAGAACAAATGAGTAATGAAACACAAATTTTCATGTGTAAATAAGCACACTATTACGAATCTGTTCACATCAGCATTTGGTTCTCTATCGAAGTATATATAATATCGACATCTACATCTAGTCTAGAAGTCAGGTTGTTGTTTGTCTGTTCCTGAATAATTAGAACACCATTTAAACACCTGGCCGCAAATTCTGCCACCATGAAACTAGCGCTGGTTAGGGAAGCTTCTGGCATTGTAATCAATATATCTAGCTAACAAACTAACGGACCATTTTTGCCATGGACATATTGGAATTCATCAGCTTGCCGTTAAAAAAGCACAGTTCAGAAATTTCACCACCAATAGGAGAAGGCATATATATCAATGTTCACATGTCCGATCATGAATGGTGGCATGTTCAAGCTTTACTATAATTGATCCTTGAGCACTAACTAGTATCAATAAAGCAAACATTAGAGAGAAAAAACACTGAAAAAATCTAAGCACACAGTGGATTGTGTATCAGCATATTTAGGCAGGCATCATTAGTCAAGTCATGTCCAGATGTTTGTAATACCTTAGCAAAATCAATCAGACCAGGGCACAATTCATTGAGTAACAACCCTAATATGGCTGAATCAGAAGTGTCCAAGTTGCCTTAACTTCACAGACTTAACTAGTGTTCTGCAGTTAATATAGTTACAATGCAGGAATTTGCCGAACATTATCTAAGTTCCAGTGTAGCACGTCCCAGCCTTATTTAGCGATGTCTACTCATTAAAGCACATCAACGCACACTAACAAGAAAAATCTTATGATTCAAGTGCACAAGTAAATCTTTTCTCAAAAGACCATTCTTGAATTAGCATTGAGCTAATCAACCACATGTCCATGTAAACGCATTGTCTAAGTCAAACTGATAATGCGTTGAGTCATGTTCAATAACTCACCACAAACTAGGATGATTCTACTCTTCCTTGATGCGCTTCTCAACCTCCTCCAGTGCCTTGATGTCCTTGTTGAACTTGCAAATGCGATAGATGGACCTATCCCGAAGTAAAACATCAAATAAAGGATTAAATACAAAATCTTCATAGACATTATTTAATCAGACCCTGCAGAGAAGTTTACTTACCAATAAAGGATAAATACTGAAACACAAAGGATGACATTCCTCTGGGACTTGAAAATCTGAACAAGAAACAATTAAAAGTGAAACGGGAAAAATAAAGCAACAATAGAGCACAATTTCCTTTGTGTAAACGGCTGAAAGCTGTACAGTTGGCTGATGGGTCAGCTTAATTATACACTTCTATCAAGGAGGAAAAAGATGCTTATAAAGAAAAATAATTGACGCTTTTAGTTCTTAAATATGATGGCAAATCTATGCCACAAATGAAAATAATAAACTATGTGGACAAATTGATTATACACATGCTGCAGAGATAAAGGATTTCAGAAAATACTATAATAAGAAGGTAGGATGCAAGTTCTAAGTCAGCTATGTGTTGAGTTAGTACATGCAATTAGTATCTAACCAACCGGCAAATTAAGAAGGGTGTCTATATTTTTTCTTGACATAAGGGATTGAAATTCCTCCAACCTCAATATAACAGAATAGCAGAAGGATTGCCAGTTTCAGAGCAAGCAGATAAAAATAACAAGAGCATGCTCTGCTGATTTTGCACAATCCAGCTGCAAATGGATATCTTCAATTTGTGTACAAAGATGGTAGGAACAATATATAGAACCGAAACCCACATTGACAAATAATCGCTGAAGCTTCCACTAATTTACCAGGTCGGATCGTCACCCTCTTATCTTCACCCACACCTAGTTACTTCAAACTAGAATGCAAATAGGTGATGTGTTAAGATGATAAGATCAAAACACATCCATTTTCTCTTTTCAATTGCAAATATCTATAGTAATGACCTCTAAGTTCAGGCCATTTTAGTAACAACAGAATCTCCATGTTATATTATATAAAGCCTTTAAATTAGGAAAAAAATGTCAAAATGAAGTGGTGGTGATACATCATATAAAATTGAAGACCAGATCACCCCTAAACCTCCATGGAAACAGCTACGATCTGGCTTTGAAACTACATCATGTGCCCAGTCTAGCTACAATTCACCAGTCCAGCTATAAGTCAAGGCAGATGGCAACTGGTGTTTTT